AATTGTCCACTTTTTGGACATTATTGTTTGAAATTTAATTTCTGCTCAGCTAGTCGTTAATTTATGTTGGGAATATTGAAATTATTAACTCTGATTGAATAAACTTAAATTACCATTATAATCAATATATTTCAACATATTAATAATACAAAAACATACAGAAATATCAACTCAAATTATAAAGATCGTATAAACTTTTCAACTTCGAAATTATTATAACAACAAAAATTGCAATACAATAAACATAAACAAATTATAAAAACATGTTATAAACATATCATATCGATAAATTTATAAAATATAAATCAATTTGATGATAAAAAATGGTTAACGAGCGTGGTTTTTCGGATGGTCGATAATTTAATCACACCAATTTAAAATTTAAATAATTTGTTTGATGAAAGAATTAAGTTGTTTGGGGTTCTGGTGTATTAACCCTTTTGAAACAATGATAATGTATAATAAAATTATCCATAATTAATCAACTAGTTTAATTATATGATAATAATTATTAAAAAATAGTTTCATATTTTTAAATAAATTATAATTTATTGTTGTTTAATAATAGATTTTTGTTATTGATATGTTGGTGTTAATTCATAATACATGTTAATTAACTATTTCACTTGTATGTTGTTTATTATATTTAAATTATATTTATACTATAATAATAGTTCATTGTTTGATTTATTTGATGTAAATCGTGAATGTATTATTACATCATTCCACGATCAAAATAGCTAGTGATCATACAACGAATATGTCAAATATTTTCTGAACGGTTTCGATTTCACAGATGTTGCTAATAAATACATAATTATATTGTTGATTCATTTTATTTTTAAACCATTTTTTGTGTCACAGTATGACGGGTTAGATTCTTTTTTGATTTTTTACTTAAAAAAATCAACGACTTTCATACAACATATACAAAACATCGAGTAATGATTTTTCAAAGTACAAATCATTGTGAAAGAAACTAAGAAATTCAGTTTATCCATCAGAATGAAATTATATAATTAAGTGATAATTTGATAAATAAAAATTTAAGAACCAATTTTTTATTTATAATTTTTAATCTTTAACGAAAATACGATATTAAGTTAAACTTTATTGTTAAAAAGTGTTTATATTTTGGCAAAGATATATACTTTACAATAAAATTTTCTTATTTAAATTGATGTAACGAATAAATAAATATCAATTATTGATACATATTTTCACATTTTAATAATATCTAAACATATTTGTACTTGATGAAAAAATTTAAAATATCCGAAACTATAATTTAGAATTTGTCTTTTTTAATAACAAAAAATAAATAAGTTTTGTTTTTCAATTTAAAAGGAAAAAACAAAACCCTTATAAAAAGTTCATAAAAACACCATTTTTTCCTCTTAGCACAATCTGTTGACTTAGCCTCAAAAGATTTTGAAAAACAAAACAATCGTTTTTCGTTTTAACAGCCTTGAATAACAAAAAAATTAACCCTAAATATTTCAAAACCCTTAATAGCGTTATTTTTGGTTCATTAACAATTCGCGGTAATATTTTACGTCGCAGTGATTTTTCACGAAACTTTATATTATTGTTTTTATATAATAGGTCAAGAAGTATCTAAAAAATTGATCACAATGACAATTTTAAACAAATACAGTCAAATGTGTTTATTTGTCGTAATTATAATTGTCGAACTTGCTTAATTGTTGCACAACTGGCCAATCATTTTGATGTACAAGAATTAAATACTATGTTCTTGAATCTGTAACTTTTGTTGAATTAAAAACCAATTTTTTTATAAAAAATAAATTTTAATATTAAAAAAATCTCAAAAATCACTTATTTACGACAAATAGACGCCTTTGATTGAACAGTTAGATTGTTTATTTAATGTTATAAAAAAATGGTTTGACTTAAATAATTTATGTTAATGGTATAAAAATCAATTATTTTTGTAAACAGTGAGTTAAACTAGTAAAAATATAATGGTTAAATAAAATAATAATTTTATCGTTGTATGTAATAATTGAATCTTGATAAAAACTAAAACATGTGTTATATATTGTTTCATACGTTTCAGTGTGTTTGTCTTGTTGAGTTCGAACACATCAAAACATTTTCCCCTCATTCAGAAACGTTTATATTTCTTTATTTTTATTGCATTTACAAAAAAAGCAATATTTCCTATAGCAATAAGAAAAAACTGCTTTTAACTTATTTAAATAATAATAATATCAATAAAAACGAATTCAACGAAAGGAAATACTGCCAAACCTCTATAAAGTGAAAATTGTTAAGAATCTCCACTTGATTATGGCCAATAAAAAGTGGATACACTTGATAAATAATGAGTCTTGTTATTCGGGTTTGTTCTTAAAAAACGCTCAAATAAAAGAGAACAACAAAAAAGATAATTTCACACTCTAAGAAATCAGACTGTATTTATAATTGAATTTGAAATGTTAATGTGATTTTATTTGACAAATTTTAATATAACTTTATTGTTTGTGATCACATTAAAATGTTGGTGATTGTGATTACGTGATAATTTATAGTTATCTTTACTTTTTCATATTTTATATATTACATTGTGTGTTTGGGTTTTTGACTCGTTTTTCATTACTATTTTTATATATAAACTTTTTTATAAAAAAGAAATTAATTAGTTCGGGTTATTATTCGATTTTAATTACAATTGGACAATAATTTTTACCATTTAACCCAAATTTGTCTTTTAAGTAAAATTTGTAATACTTTATTGTTTGATTATTTTTTCAATGTTTTATAATGAAATTATTATTTTTTAATAGTTAATTGTTACAAATTTTTTAATAACATGTTATACCTTTATTGTATGAAAACTTAATAATATAAATAAAAACAACATTTTTATTTAAATAAGTTCCTTAATAATACATCTTGTTAATTTAAAAATTGAATATTCTCAAAATATTATGTATATATTTAACCCTTAGACGACTGACTAAAAATACTTTTTTCTTTTTTTTGAAAAATAAATTTTGAAAAAAATATGCAAAATTTCCTAAAAGATGAAAGGTAGTGTCCGACTTTTCAAGCAGTTCCAGTACATTCAAAGTTGTTTAAATAGAATAGTTCAACTCAAATTCAATTCTTTGTATTATTCATATTTCTTAAGATCATTTCAAAACTCAAACTTAACAGTTGTAAAGGAATAAATGAACATTCATTTTTAAAAACTTTTAAAACAAAAATTAATAATATTTTATAAAAAATAAAGGGGAAAAACGTTTTATAATTTATAATTTTAAAATAATTTTAAAAAGCTATCAACAATTCAAGTTAAAATAAAAGTCGGTTACTCACTATTTAATTCAATGTAACTAATTGGAAGAAAATAACCAATAAAAAACACTTTGGCCAAATTAAGAACAAAACAACAAAGTTGATGTCAAGATACAAAATAATTTTTACTCGTGCCAAAAATAAATGGAAAATCAATTACGATGATTTATTTTGTAAAGAACCCGTTGTTGGTTAAAATCTATACTGATAATTCAACTAAAGCATTGATAACAATTAAACAAGTGTGCTTGATGGTAATGAAATCAACAAAAACACCATTTTTACACAGAAAATATCAATTGAAAAATAAGATGGTACAAAACCAATAGTTTTCGACGTTGAATCAACTATATTATACTATATTTTATAATAAAAATATAGTAAATTTATAATTTTCAAAATAAATTCAGATAGTTTTATTATCAAAACAATTAAAATATAACCAAAAAAATAACAAATAATATAGTTAATGAATAAATAGAACCGTAGTTTGATTAGCACCAGAAACACAAGATTTTACTTTTATCCAGACCAGCACCCCCACAATTATTACTATCAACCTAACAACTGTTGAGAATTTGGCATGTTTTTCTTTCAAATAAGTTTTAGTTCCATTTTAAGTAGTGGTAAGCTAGCCTTTTGCATTTACTCGTTAAAACCAAGAGAGATGTAGCAGAGCTTTTCCTTGATTTCTCTTTAGGCGTTTGTGGTGAATGGGTAGCCTCTTTCAGTCAAGATCTTCATCAAGTAGTCGGTCAAATCAGTACCAGCGAGATCAATTCCGAGGATGGCTTGTGTGGAGTAACCTTCATGGATTGGGACTGTGTGTGAGACACCAGTAACAATAGTAATAAACAAACTGTTGTTCTACCTGAGGCTTACAATGAAAGGACGGCTTGGATAGTAACATATATTGCTGGTGTAATGAAGGTCTAGAACATAATTTGTTTCATCTTTTTTTGTCAGACTTTGGGTTCCTTGGTAAATTTAATAAACAAGACTGGGTGCTCTTTTGGGGCAAAATATGACAAACAATTCAAGCAGTATAAAATAATTATTCCAGTTTCAAAACACATCCAAAAATACAATTTTATTTAGTTTTTTTCTTTTATTGTGTTTATTTATCGACATGATAATACATTTTATCGGGACATTACAACAAAAAATTGTAAAAAACGAGCAACAAGTTCATATAAATATGACAAGTAGTCTTTGTTTTCTTGCTCAAAAAAGTGATTTTTAAAACTAAAAATCCATAGGCAACAAAACTTGTAATTCTGGACTTTTGGGTTAGTTTTTGTGCTATATTTAATATTTTGGATAGGAAACTTGGTAATGTGGGGTTTCGAGTTTTGTGTGTGTTTTTATATTTTCACTCTCCCGTTATTTCAGTCAAAAGCAAGAAGCGAAAACATGGTTTTTTTAGAAAAACAATAAAAATTCAGACAATAGATTTTGTTAGTGATGGCAAAAGTTGCATTGTGCATTACTTTATTGAGGTTATTTTACTCTTACTAATATTTTAAGTACAAGTTACTCCCTTTTTGGAAAACAATGAACTGTTTTTCAAATCAATTATTACAATTACAATAATTATTATTATTGATTATTGATTTTATCGAAACTTTTTTAATCCATTTGGAAAAAAGTTTTTTTTGAAAAAAAAAGCCATTCGAATGGCCGAGAAAGCTATTGTGGGCGATTACGAATGGCTTGTTGAAAGACCCGCACCCCAGAGAAAGACAAGGAAGAAGGTAGTTAGTGCAGAAAGAACAAGCAAGTTCGATCCCGCGGTGGAAGTTTTGATCGAAGTTGAGTGTTTTCAGTTGTTTTTGAGCGTAGAAATTTTCTATAACATATTGACTTTTTCAAACAAAAAAATAGCGAAGAAACATAAAATAAAGGATAATCTTTTGCCCAAACACATTTACAGGTTTGTAGGGATATTTATTTACATGGGAGCCCACCACAACACCAAAAACCCCATTGAAGAGCTTTGGTCCATGGAAGATGGAAAAGCTATTTATAAAGCAGCCATTTCGAGGGACATGTTCAAGTTTATTGCTGCCAACATTGAGACATATGATGTTGATGTTCCATGAGCAATCGAAGTTGCCACATCCTTCCCCGATGACAAAAACAAAGATGATGAAGATGCCAATTGTGTCGAAGGTGCTGTAAGTGAAAAAGGCGATGATGAAGAAGAAGATGAAAATCGAGAGTATCTCAACAGTCTGGAATTTGATGACGAAAAATTCCGAATACTCTCCGAAAAGCAACTGAAAAAGAGCGTCAGGGTGAAGAAAGAAATCGATCTCAAGGAAAACTATCTAGTAACCCCAGCACCCGCCCCAAACGAGAGTGACAGATTCGCTTTAATTAGAGTGATCTTGGACAAGTTCATCTTCAACCTCGTGAACCAGAAATACTACACACTTAGCAATTTTGTTTTGGTCGACGAGCATCTCTGCTCGTTCAAAGGCAAGATGTGGGCCAAGGTGTTCATCAAGTCGAAACCTGGCCGCTACGGTATCAAATTCTGGGTTTGTTCTATTTTTATGTAATGTGTTTTAGTTATGAAACATAAAATGACAACTTGTTTTTATTATCGTTTGAATTTTATATTTGAATGTTTTAAGTGACTTTTTGTTGTTTTGTTTATGTTTTATGTTATGTTTTAAAAAATAACTTTTAGATGTCTGCTGACAGTGAAACTGGTATTGTGTTAAACCTTCAGATGTATTGTGGTAAATGTGGGGGAGAGAAGAAAACCAAGGTTTCAGAGTAACCCGTGACATGGTACTCCCCATGTTGTGTCGCGGCTTCAAGACGACTGTGGTGTGCGACAACTTTTTCTGTACATTGAAGTTGTCGCACTACCTTGCTGCCTTTGGTTGTTAACTTCTGGGCACCATGAGGATGAATAGGAAAGAAGTGCTTGCTGAAGCCAATGATGTGAAGAAGAGAAGCAGCGACACCACCATTTTCTTCTCGAATGTCAAGAGCAAACTTGTCTCCTACTACAACGAAAAGAAAAAGTTGGTGTTGCTGCTTACCACTTGCCACGACAAAAGTGATATTGTCGCAATGGAGACCACCGTCTATAGGGGGGCAAGCAACAAGTTGTACACAAGCCCAGCCCATCATTAATTACAACCACAAGATGGGTGGTGTTGATACCGCCGATCAGATGGTCAGGTATTACAGCTGCAGACGCAAGACCTACAGATGGAACATTCGGGTCTTGTACGACATGATCGATATTGCTGCTCTCAATGGGTACAAGACCTACTCAGCATTCAATAAAGGTGATCGTATTGAATACTTGAATAAGCTTTCAAGGGATTTGATGGCTTATAAATGTTTTTTCTTCATGGTTTGGTTGTTTTTATGTTTTATTGAATCTAAACTGTTTGTTTCATTCAAACTGAGCTGTTTAAACGAACACCAACATTTTATTAGCGACAAAAAAAATTAAATTAGGGGTTATCATACCATTTTTGCTAAATAAACTTTTATCTTTACTATAAACATGATAATCTGTTGTTAACAGTGTGTTCAACCACAACAAGTGAGTGCATAAGACTTGTTAATACGAGTATTCTTTTTTCAACACGCTGTTTGCATGGGCTTGTTTTCAAAATAATGATTCAAATATTTTAACTATATTTTATTATAAGCTGTTCTACCTAATTATAATTTAACCATTTTATTGTAGTAAATTATAGTTTGTTTTTTCATATACTTTTTATTGCAGTTTTTTCAACTACTTGTCTAAGCAAACAAAAAAATAAATATTGGACAAAAAAATGACTAAAAATCGGGAAAATATCGAATCATCAACAAAAAGTGATAGTCTGCACACTTTTTTCTGACATGTGTGATGGTTTCCATACTTGAGTCGAGTCGAAGTAACCGTTTCCAAGCTTAGGAAAACCGTTTGAGATGAAGTTATCTCTCTTCTGTTGTATTCCCACCATTCATAGTCAAGATAGAGGCTTGGACAGCAGCACCATAAGCAATAGCTTCTTCTGGGTTCATGCTCTTGTTTGGCTCCTTTCCCATTGAAGTGTTTACAGCAACTGACAACATTTGGTATCTTCAATGATAAACCAATCAGCACAACATCGTCAATGCTTCCCTTGTCCAACCTGGCGTCTTTCAACACCTTCTCGACAAGCTGGATTGTCGACTTGAAGACGTCGATGTTCAACTCTTCAAAATTTTTGATGCACCCGTTTGTGAAGAATATTTTTGTGGAAAATTGAGTTTGATTGAACTCTTTCTAAAATATAAAAACTGTTACAAACTATTGTTTACTATAATTTTTATTTTCTATTAACAAATAAACTATCCTTTTATAGTAAATTACTATGTGCTGTGGTTCTTATTATTTTTACTTGGAGTTTTTGGAAATAAGTTTGGTCTTTTGTATTTTTGTGTTTACTTTAAAAATACCTTTATTTTTTAACATGTTTCTTGTATGCTGCTCAAAATGCATCCCAACGAAACAGACGTGTATGCCATGCAAATCCAACTTTTTTGTACCAAATAGAATAATAATTATTTTAATTTGTTCCAATAAAGTAAATTTTGGCTATTGTTTTTGGTTGGCAATGATAAAAAACCAGAAGAACAAACAATGAATTCATATCTTTGATCCTCGTAAGTGACACGAACCAAAATTCATACACCAAGGTCAAAACATTGTTGTGAAAAAGTATAAATTGAGTGTCTTCAGTTTGGCTGTAAAACGTTTTTTTATGAATTTTTTTGGTTTTGTGATTTTTGATACTTTTGAAAACGTATTTTAGTTATTTTTTGTTTATTTTACACTTTTTTCTTTAAGATTTTTTTTTCAAAGTCGGAACAAACAAAAGTGTCCTTACGTCTTATCTTTTTGTATTATAGAAAAAATAGTAAAACCCAATTTTTTAAATTATTGTATTATTCAAAGTTTACAAAAAACTATTTATTTTCCCTTGTTATTGTTTTTGAGATCAATTGCATATTGAAATTTCAAGACACCTCAAAGTCTGTTATTTATTTTCTTTTCTTTGATATTTTATGATGCAATTGATTTTGAATATTCTGGACCAGTATGTTTTACGTTACAGTTATCTCTTTGTTATATTTTATATTAATTTTATTATTGTAATAAGTTGTGGACATCTCAACAAATGTTTGATCTGACTTTTCTATTATCCTCTGACTTGTTTCTGAAAAGACTAGGCCAAAAAAGTAAACCTTTGTTCGTCCCAACTTCAACAAAAAGTTCACTTTTTTACTATAATTTATATTTTTTTTACTATAAAATTTTACTAAGTCAGTCGTACCAAGAAAGTTGGAGTAATTAAAGAAATAAAAGTCTCATTTACTTGAAAAATAACTAAGATTACACAAAATCCATTATTTTTGGTTTTTAGAGTTTTCAGAGGGTTAAATCATTTATTATTTAAAATAATATAAAATAATATATTATAAATCAATAGAAAATAATGAACAATGAATCAATTAATAACACTAATAATATTGTTTGTAATAACATTTAAATTATTCAACATCAAAACATTATTCTTTCGATTTTAAATTGACAATTGGAATTATAACCAATAATAAAATATAATAAATTAATAATTTCAAATGTTTTAATTTATGATTTGATTAATAATGCCAAGATTATATACAGCATAACTAAAACGTGTGTTTTTTACTTTTTAAAAAAAATCTAGATAATTCAAAAATAATAATGACTCATCAATTAAACATTGTATCACTTTTATTGTTTTTGATTGGATTGTCCTCTGAAATATGCGAAGCTGGCTATTATCTAAGTGCTGGGT